AGCTTAACGCGAGACGATACGAGAGAAGAGATTTGAATTTGTACGACAGCCCTTTGCAGTGTCAATGACATTTTGAACAGTTGTAATAAATAATTAAAATTCACGAGTTCTATTTATGGAACATATATATTCACGGAAAAAAAGAATTTGCTACTTAAACAAATCTATTTGTTAAATATGGGATAACAAACATTTTTTGAGCTAATTAAGCTAATTAATTTTGCTATTAATTAGCTCTTGCAGCAAAAAATGTTAGTTATCCCATATTTAACAAATAGATTTGCTTTAGTAGCAAATCCTTTTTTCCGTATTCTCTCTCTTTCTCTCTCTTTTTTTCTTTCTCTCCCTCTTTCTTTTTTTATTAAGAATTCAGTTAATTCCTTTTTTTTCCCGATTCAGTTCTTTTTCTTTTAATTGAATCTTTGATAGAAGAATAATTTCCAGATTACTCGACGTTGTTGTTTTCATTAAAAGATAAGTACCTTGTTTTGTTAAACAATTAAAAGATAAGTACTTTGTTTTGTTAAACAACTTGTTTCAACAAAATGTATTATAAAGAGTCTCTTAATTAAGTACAAATGTCCCTGCAAGAAGAAATTAGAAAAGATATATAAGCCCGACAAATTTCTTGGCTTAAACTGGTCCACAGAACATTATAAAAGTATATTAGAGAGAGAAATACACACACCCAAGAATTTTATTCTTGCTATATCCGTTACTATAGCGGCACCTTTCCAAAGATAAAAAGAATACATTTTAACATTTTTACTGTTAAGCTGATTTTGACATCAAACTTAATAAATCTAGCGTGTTATTTTGATACTTTATTTTATGGTTTTTTTTACGCATGCAGATATATGCAGAGGGGTCGCGACGCTCCGAATCGAGTAATACGACTAAGAAAATTGTTTTCTTTTTAACGTCTTAGTGTAATTTATATTGCTTTTTTATATTTTGAATACTTAATAAAATCGATCTTAATCGGGTAAATAAAACCGTATATTGTACTCATATTTACAAAATAAGCGTCAAAATTTTTGCGGAAATTTACACGTCACCTAGTCATAGTAGTCAGTGTTAAAAACGTCATAGTTAAAAGCTTGCAAAGTCCGATACTAGAATCTTTCTTAGAATGGATAAGTATATCGAAAATGCCTTGTGAGATTAATGGACAGAACCTGTCGAACCTTGCAGTTGGGAAATTTCGGGGTTTCCCCAAATCGCGATTTTAAATATCTCTTGGGTATATAACTGACGGAACGATGATGTAGGCAACTTCTGATATATATTATCAAAGTGTCGCCGCGAAACATTTGGCGGCTCTTATTTTCAGTGCAAAGTATATACTGCGTTATGTGATAAGCGGTCGTCAGCGCGCTTAATGAGTATCAATTTTTACGTCAATCGCTGGTATTTGCGATTTAAACGCGATAAATTGATAAGGGATTAACGCAACTGACCGACGAATTCGAGAAGCGAAATAATTGGGTGTTCTATAATTATCATAGCAGCGTTTCGTCGCAAAATAATACGGAATTTCAAGTAAATCTGCACAGAGTGTGATTCTTTGTACGAAATAGCTTAACGATGCACTTAAAATCTAATCGATAATATATAAATTTAAACGGACTCATGAATTACGTTCCTACTTTGCTTCTAATTATTATTACGTATATGTATGTTCTACAGTTTCTATTCTCCGCTAAAGTTATACATTGTTAAATATTATTCAAAAGATAAAATTTTAACTAATATCTTGAGAAATAACATTTTGTTATTTTAAACTTTATGCATGTCAAAATTTATTATTTTATAACACAGAACAGTACACGGTAAAAAATATTTTGTATTTTAGTGGATTTCCATCGGTGTAGAATTTTTAACATACACTGCGGTGTTAATGCAACATATTGTCTTTGTGTTATTTTGACTTTTCTGCGTTAACACTCAACGTTTCTAAGAGTTAAAATAATATACAATTTATATGTAAATGCACAAATTCTTGGTGACATATATTATATGTTAAAATAAATACCTAAGTTGTATTTCCTCTCTATAAGAGTCTGTTATCATCTGTTAAATCTGTCAACATTTTCTTTGTTATATATTATAAAAAAATATCGTTTCTGTTTTTTGCAAGAAAGAGAGAAGAGAGAATAACATTTAATGTAAAAATAACATTTTGTTTTAATTAAAATTAACATTATAAATATGTTAATTTAACATAAACTTTGCTTCCAGATAGCGTCCATGCATTACAATTTTGTGTTCATTTTTCACACATTACTTGTGTTATTTATTTATATATTTGCCTTTTGTTAAGTTAACATGAAAATTAGAGTTGATAAATTCAGACATGTGAAATGTGTTAAATTTAACACAAAATTTTTTATTGTGAGTAGATATTATTTTAACTCCATTGATTTACTTGAAAGGAATGGTTAAAAATGATTCAAATTGAGTAGGTATAGTATTTTACACTACAAATTTAACAGTATACAATTAAAGTTATACGCGTTTATTTCGCGTGTTTCTTTTCTCTTCTAATTGCATAATATCTTTGCAGGGGTCTTCCACACGATCTTACGAACTATGACGTCACGCGTTAAGTCAATTCATTTTTATGCTTTGTAACGCTTTGCGCAATTTATAACGATCAAATGTAATATCGTCTATATCGTCTAGATAGCCGGCAATCTCGCGATATGAGAATATGCAATATTAGCGTAGCGGATTGAAAATAGAGCGACAGTCATCGAGAGTAGCCCCAAACTAATGATAACCGCGCGCCTGCAAATAGATCTTAGGAGATTACGAATGAAACTGTCATAAAAACAGTCTGTCATTTTTCCCAGTATCGACGAGGTATTTCCCTCTCGTATGTAGTTTACCTTTACGTCAGCGGGAATACTTAAGGCACGTTAGAGTGCGGCGAAACGTTTAGACTTACCTTCTCATAGCATTCTCGAAGCTATGCGCCGTAAGACTTTACGATGATCCTCGGAAAAGTGAATGTGCAATCGTGCGCTCTTCCAATTTGAATTTTGACGGTGGCGAGTGCCGCAAAATTTATCCGCGGTAACAGTAGCAGTAAAACATCTATGTCCATCACAGCTGCGCGTTCGTGCGGCGGATTGAAAATCCATTTCACGAACGCTATATGACTTCTGATTAAACATTAATTTTATTTTAATGTCAGCTAGAATTTCTGCAAAAACAGGCTCGTCAATCATAAAATTCTTTATTTTTGATTAAATTATTTATGAATTATTTATGAATTATTAGTATGATTATGTATGAAGAGTTTTTTCCAATTAAGTTTCATTTTTTATTCTACTTTATATATGTCGAAAAAAAAACGGGTTTTTTTTCGAAGAATCAGTTCACCTGGTGAACCTGTTGCTACCTTCGACTGTTTTTTGTATTGTTGCATTTAGTACCTGTAGTATTAAAAAAAAAAAAAATTTTTTTTTAACATTATATTTTTCGACCTGACATCTTGTTCAATGATTTTTAATGATTATTACAAAATTGCAATAAGTGAAATAATTACATTGAATAAAAAATAAAATAAATACATTTTAAATAAAAAATTCTGCCATTAGCATTCTTTATCGATAAATATTCATTTTGCTATTGATCATTGTGTATTATTCATGTAATGCGAAATTGATATTCGAATTTTTCAAATTAAATAAATTGTTCGTTTATTGTTTAAACAACATGCTAAAATAAATTAAGCAAAAGAAGCATTCCTTTGTTAATTCTACAATCCTTTACATGATTTTTTCGTTTCTTTTTTCCGAAAAGCATTATATTTTACATAGTAAGGGGAATTAATAACAATAATTCCTGAGAGATAAAGTAGAGAATGGACGGACAATTTCATATAAACAATGCGCTGTGAATGATAGCAATGATACATTCACGTTAATTTTATTACGTTTTTGTTTGTTCGTATTTGTTTCAATAAAATTCTAACTATAATAACAACAAGAATGTAATAAGTGATAATAATTATTTATTAAGTAAAAGTCGATTGGAAGAACTAATGATGATTCTTTAAATCGGATATTCGCCTCTTCTCTTCCCCCGTTATTGAAAAACATTAACAATTTCTCGCACTATTGTTGCCTTTTTTTGCGAGGTAGCCTCATCGCTTTTATTAATCTCCCGTTACTCATATCGCGAAGAAAATATTATATTTGTCGAGAAGAACGGAAAGACGATCGTCTCTCCCGCCTCTTGTACGAAGCCAAAACGAATACTGGGAAGCAGAACCTTTGTCCTCCTGGAGTCTCGGCGACGTAAGTGCGCGATGCAGGGAGGACGCAGAATCGCGTATCTAATATATATTACACAAAGAAAGTAATTAAAGTTTTTAAGTACGCGCCATCGTAATTAGTTTCAAAGTATACTCGAGATATTGCCTCAAGTTGAGTAATCACGAGTCTGGAAAATTTTACGAACGCAAAGAGAGACACAAAGATTAGTACAAACCGGAAAAAATCGTCCTAGGGCGATATCAAGTATATGAGACGTATCTCGTGCGACTTGGTCGCGCATTAAGATAATATCGTCGCGACGTTGTTGTTCGATTATTTAATTTTAAATTATTGAATTATCGAATATTCAAAAAACATACGTCACTTTACCATTCGATTTTACGATCAAGCGAAGAAAGAACGTGCTGAGTGTGCGATAGCATGTAACTTTATGGCTTATGTGTCGCGTGATATATTCAAAAATGACACGTATCCCCCGCAGTGGGGTGGGGCGAGGAGGGAGATGATCGCACACGGTTTGCGCACACGAGGGAAAAGGAGAGAAGGTAGATCCCCGAGTTTAGGAGAAGAGAACCGTGGGTATATATGTGTATATTTTGCGTAAAAAGCGAGGGTGGATCCGACGCTGATGAAGTGGGGGACAGTCTTCGTCGTGGCGACAGCGTGGGGATAGGGAGGGCGGTAACGCGGGTATATATGCTCGATGCGGCCGAGACTAGCTACAGTTCAACAAGAAGCAAAATCGACGTAAGAGGAAGGATCGGGATACGACGCGCGATCATATCGAACTCGGAAGTCGATATCATCAGTGAAAGAGACTTATCAGTTAAAGAAATCCCCGCGAAAGATAGAGGGGGAGGAGAGAAGAGGCAACAAGTGTGTGACAGAATTCGGTGTCAGAATCGGTTGTAGACTCTTGTGGCACAATTAGCGATTGACTCGTTGACCGATTTCTGTTCGTTTAACGCAAATTTGTCTGTGGTGCGCGCGAAGATGAATCTGTCAGTCGGCACGCCGATTCTGTGCGTCCTGCTCGCGGTCCTGCTGTCGGAAACGGTGCACGCCAGGCCGGCCGATTGGCTACTGAGGTACGGCTACTGAAGAGAATCTAATTTAGATCGAGGACTTAAGGAGGGAATCTTGTCGTGAGGCAATCCGTGAAATTATTGCGACACTCCCGCTTTCTCCCGATCGACGAGGTCCAAATTCAACTTCGTTGATTCAACTTCGGCTTTAACGTCGCCAATTATTGTCAATCGATATCGTATCAATTCTAGTGTAAAATTGGATTCATTCGAAACAATACGAATTTAGTCGAGTAACTTGAGTCAAAATCCCGCGCGATCGAATGTTCGATTAATTTAGTGCGGAGATATTGAACAATGCGGAAGATAATGTGCGATGTAATATAGCTCCGAATCCAACGATCTCGATTTCCACACGCGGACGAAGTGACCGACTTCCTCTTTGAAACCCTCGCATGCGACGATAACATGTTTACTGAACATATAGCTGAAGCTTTGGCGCACGGCTCTATCTGTGTCGCGTACGTTCGCAAGATTAGCGCGGCTATTGAGAGAGGCGCAACGGATATATCTCTTTTTTCTCCCAAGATTAAAACTGGTCGCGGTTGTTGGCGACTACACGAGAATCGGGATTTTCGTCAAATAATCGGAAAAAGTCCATCACGCGCGCCATCCCTAGAACTGTCCCTAACGAGAATAGTTTTAGTAACATGTCGATTTGTTGCAGTCGGCAGAAGCGCCTTTCCGATCAAAGACTCGCTGAACTCGAGACACTTTTAGCGCTGCAAAATGTGAAGGGCGTAGTGGTTCCCGTAGGATTCGGAAAAGTAAACCCAGCTATGATGTAAGTTCACTTTCTAGTCTGTTTCGAACAATGATGATCTAATTAATTAATCTTTATATGTATCGTTCGTTTTATTAATTGTTCAAATGCATTCCTAAATGCTTACTCTTAAATGTATTTTAAGAGGACAAAAATATGCTACCTACGCCGTTAAATATTAAAAGGCGAAATTTAAATCAATACTTTAAGTTAATTAACATTTTTAATTACCTATGTGTGTAAAAATTTATTATTTTAATATAGAACAGTATAATTTTAACTCCATTGTTTTAATTAAATTAACGACATATTGAGTAGGTGCGGTTAAATATAATTTATTGTTATATACTAAAAATTTAACAGTATCTATATAATTCTAGAATTAAAATTATCCGCGTTCGCTGAAATTCGCCAAATTTAATTACTGCGCCATTGTAACGCAGACAAGATTAAATGATAATCGCGAGGAAATTAGTCGTATTACGATAAGAATTGTATCATTCATTCTATCAATTTTTCAAGTATGTCTCTAAGCACATGTGGAACTTTTTCTTAATCGCTTACATGTGGAATTTTTTCTTAAGCGCAATAAGACAAAAAGTCCTAAGATTAAAATCGTCCATCCGCTGAAATTTGTCAAACTTAATCACTGCGCTGTCGTAACGCCGACAAGATAAACGGTAATCACGAGGAAATTAGTCGTATAATGATAAACATTATAAATTTAAAAAAAGGCAAATGATGTTATTAATAGTTTTAAGATTAAAATCTTCCACTCGCTGAAATTCGTCAAATTTAACTCTTATAAATGCCCAGCTTTACATATATGCAAAAGCGACTTTTTAATCTATACACTCTCTGTCCACTCTCCCCTTATGAAGTTCGAATTGAAAACGCGGCTTTGCTCTTACATCATCATAAAAATAGTCCAAAAAAAATTCAAGTGGTTCAAAGGGTTGAAATTAGTAAAGAATAATTTTTTAAATATTTTTTAAAGCATTCCTTAAGCAGTTATTATTTAAAAAAGAATAAAAATGCTACGAATTGCGCATTTAACGATTAATTAATGCGCTATCGCTAGTAACGCAGACAAGATTAAACGGTAACCACGAAGAAATTAGTCATATTACGATAAAAATTATGTAAGAGAATTGGCTTCTTCGACATATTATATTGGCGTCTCCGACTTATTGTATAATTAATTTAATTTATTAATTTTTTAAATATATTTTTAAGCGCTTTCTAATTGCTTACACGCGGTACTTCTTGTAATTGTAATTAAAAAAGGACCAAAAATGTAACTGATAGTTCCAGGGATAAGATCATCCGTTCTCAGATTTGCCGACTTTTGTCACGTGTGCCATCACGAGTAACACAAATTAAATCACGAGGAAATTAGTCATATCACGATAAGTGTGATACCGTCCCCTCTTCATTCTGGAAATCCTTTTCTCAAGTATATTGCTGCTAGATACGACCGGTGCGAAAAGTACTCTTGATATTAAAATTCTTACTAAATTACAATAGTTGCATTTAATCTTTCTTTATTGCTGGTGATTCGAATTTTTAATAAACAGTAGCTAAAACATTCAACATCGCTACAATCCCATTAGAGATTTCATCGGTCGCAGTTGCACTTGTTGCTTCTTCCTCGAACCTTCAACTAGCTTGTACACTATACGTCAGCTAGAGAACTGCATAAAAAAGGGATTAAACAAGAAAAGAAAAAGCTATAACGATGTAAGAAGTGATTCGCCCGCAACCTGAAAAATTAATGCATGGAAAAAACAAGAGCTTTAAATATTCAATATTCTTGGAGAAATATTTCAAGTTGTGGAGAAGTGACACGACGGTACGAAGAGAAAAGTTTTTGGCTGGTAGTTTAGCAATAATTCCGTCCTCATCTTGTGACATCGATAGCGCGCGCGCTATCGATTTTAGCAAAAAAAAATTGAAAAGAGACAATGAATACGCCTACAAATTGTAATGCAACGACGCCCGTTGAATAACATAATTGCATCGGAACAGCCGAAGAAAGAGAACGAGAATGGAGAAAAGGAGAATAAGAAGTAGACGCGCGGCCCGTGACAAACGAAGACGGAAGAAGGCAACGACGGCAAATGGAACCTCTAACTGGGTTACTTCTTGTTGAATGTCTCGTGAATAAATTTCTATCCGGACGTTGTTCCCGCTCGTCGTTCTGTGAAAAGAAGCCCCTGTGAGCGCATCGCGATATCGTCACCGCTCCCGTCTCGTTATACCGCGCGTAAATTAATTGACGATCATTTATGACGATGTCAACGACGTGTCCAACGTCGTAATTAACACGGGACATGAATATCGTCGAGCGGCCGCGCTGTGTATACACCCCCGATGATTGACAAGCCGGCGCTCGAAACCTGACTTCTTTCTTCGCACCTCATCCTATTATTGCGTAATCGCACATGTAACGGCTGAAATATTCGAGAATAGCGGAATGCTAAATAATGTATGCAAATTAAATTAAATAGTTCAAGGCTGCCCTGATAGAAATATTTTACTGAAATTCTTTCTCACTTGACCTCATTTCATTATTATTCCATAAGTTTCATGATACCTAACATAAAATAAATTTGTTATTACTTTTTAATAGTATATAACTTTTCTTATATTTCATAGTATTACATTACATTTCATAAGGAAAATTATTATTTATTTTGAAATATATTTAGTAATTTTTCAATAATTTTCATTTTATTTTTCATCGATCTCGTATAGAATAACAATGAAATAGGATCAATTGAGAGAGAATTTTAATGAAATTTTATTATATTTTTAGTAAAATATTTCCATCAGGGATGTGCCGTGAAAATTGGATGAAAAATGAAATATAAAATTCGTGTAATAAAACATATTTAGACTGTGATTTGTCCCGAACGATCGGCATGGCAGACGGCGAGTACGATACCCGAATTGATAGGAAATTTAAAAATACCTCGATCCACGAGCGCGATATTATACGGTCTTCTCGTTAATAGTCACCCATTATTCAGCGAGGCCTCTTTCCCGCGTATCTCGGCGACGATGTTATCGGTATGGGGCAATTAATTGAGCCTCGATAAACAAATTATGCTACGACAGATATTGCCGCTGCTTGTTGGCAGCCGTGTAATTTACGCCTCCTCGCGCGTAACACACCCGTTCGCCGGCGATAAAACTCGTCAAATATTATATATTACTTGGCAGATCTTCGGCGATTGCATGACTATTGCATGACGATTGCATGACTATTGCGTCGGCTGGCGCTATCGCTTCTTCTCCTTTCGGCACACGAACTCAGCGTGATCGCGCGAATTTATCCGGAATATAGCCGTTTCTATAAAGAGGACAGAGACTCAACATTGACGGAAATTCAAACGACTTTGTATTATTAAAGCACATAAAAATATTTACATTATTTGTCAAAAATTAATAATAATATTAAATTTATTGAAGCGCAAGAGATAAGAAATGTTTTACATCAACCAAATCTTTTGTTAATTTGATAACAGTATTAATGGAAACAAATAACATTTTATTGAATATGACGTACTTGTTTCGTTAATATCGTTGTTGAATAACGAGATTATTTCCAATTGGAATGTGCTGTCAGCCTAATGCTGTTAACTCATTAAGTCCTGGAAGGCCTTTACGCTTTTCTGCTTTAAATTTTTGCTAGAAACCCCTGCCTTTTTACTGGCAAATATTTAACTAATACAGGGTGTCCCACGGAAAGTTGTTGAAATTAATTAGCTTTTATTCTGTAACGCATACGAGAAAAACAAAATTGCGTTTAACAGAAGACGTTTAGTTTTATTTATATTTTACTTATATTTTGTACACGGTTTTTGAGGATTTATGACTTGATTAATCACTTGAGAAGAGCTGAAATTGCAGCCGAAACGTTGTGAATAAATAAATTAATTATTTGGCCAGTCGGGTCGAACAAAAACGACTTCTGTTAGTTATATTTATTTATTAACTAATATATTTTATTATTGACTATTATTTGATTGCGCATTAATTACCGCGCGTGGCTCCGATTGTCTCTCTCACTTCTCTTTATTTGATTTATTCAGGAGAGCCTATATTTCGTTTATTTTATTTATAGAGTATACTAATCTGTATGATGGAAAATTTTTACTGAATTTTACTTGATTTTATAAAAAGTTATTCTAACACATATGTAGATTAAAAATGAATCAAATTGTTTTAAAAACGAAGCACTATATGAATATAAACAAATAAATTTTTCTAATCTTTTCAGAGTGTTTTTGTTTGCCACTCTGTGCGTTTTCTACTTAGTACGAAATGCTCTATACACATTAACGTACACTTTTCCTCTAGAAAAGAAGCCCTAAATAAGATAAATTTTTTCTTCTGTCTTGAAGTCACTCATTTTTCGACACACGTTCTTATTTTCGAAGAAGGTTTGAATAAAACAGAATAAAACTGCGAAGTTCCAGGTATAAGACTACAGACAATCTACCTAAGTCGTGGAGGGAAAAGGGACGAATTTAATTTTATTGTCAGCAACTTCCCGTGGGACACTTTGTAAAATAATTTCATCTACCTTTTTGAGTAAAATGTTTTGTTATATAGATCACTCAAATAATAATTATATCGATTTATTCTACTCTGAAAAGAAAACAGACAAAATCATTTATTAGTTGAATATTTATCAGTAAATGGACAGGGTTACTTATTTTTTTAAATTCCATTTACAATCTTTATATCTTTCTCTTTCAAATCCCATATCCCATCCCATCACCGACTATTTTTTCGCAAAGAGCAACTCTTTTTTTATCTCTAAATATCAATTGCAATCTAAAAATTTCCTATTAGAATCCGAACTACAAAAGATTTAAAACAGGAAAGCGCGTATCTCTTAGGACTTAATGGGTTAATGGTTAATGCAACATTATTTCTTTTCTGCGTATAACACTAATAATAAAATCAATTATGATCAATTGACGATCCGTATTAAATAGATTGATTTTTTCACACGTGTTTTACTATTGTGTTTGCAGAGGCCGTAAACGGAGATCCATCTCGGAAGATAATTTTCGAAAATTGCATCATCTTTTGCTGCTCATTGCTCAAGATGCGGAATCAACTGCAGACCAATCCGATCAGATTCGTCCTTTACCGTGGGTAAGTACCGAGATATCGTCGAGATCGATACGCGCATAATATATAATTTGCTTATCGCGTCCTTGCTTCGCACAAATGTCGCAGTTACCAACTTTCACGCGATAATAAACACATAGGACACATTATCGGACACTCTTTCTACATTCGCTCCATTTTCGGGAACGCGGTGGTTTCCTCCACGTTACGGTGAGGAACCGAGATCGTTTATCATGCATGTGTTTGAGCGATAATTTCACGACGAAGAAAGATTGGCCGGACCAGCGCGCAGCGGCGCGTGTCACTGAAATCTAATGAACTGCAGGAGCGTATACCTAATTAGCATGCAGCCCGGCACGAAAGTTTCCAAGACGCGACGTGTGACGCTTAGTTGGTTCCTGTTCTCCTCGATTTATCTACTTTCTTTTTTCCTGTTAGTTCACGTCGGACGACAAGTAAACGTACGAAACGTACGAAACGCGACTACCACTTGCGTTTACATTTCGTAGGTGTACGTGCGAGATCTACTTAGATCTAACAAGCGAGAAAGGCTCGATGACGCTATATCGCGATAATACGTTTGCGAGAATCGCCTTCGTAATTGCGAATCTGTCGTCTCAAGAAGATCGGGACTAATTCCATTTTCCCTATTCTAATTACAGAAGGAAGATCCGCGGGAGGAACAAAGGGACTATCAGTTGATTTAATTCGGAGACTCGGTGTCGCTCGAGAACGAGGCGAAAGTCAGGAAAGAGAGACGGAAGAGAGACAACGGGGGAGGAACGATCGTGCGAGAAAGAGAGGGAGACAGGAAGGAGAAAGTAGAACAATTAACAAAGATACACACATATCCACACACACATATACACATATACATATGTGCACGCATATTTAATTTGATCTCTCAGCCATGATCCGTCGACAACGCACTCTACTACGGACTAGCCTCCGTCTTCCAATTTCTTTATAAACTTTCGCCTTAACGGGATGCTGGAGTGACGGCCAAACTTCCTCGATGTCGATAATGTCAACATTTTTAATTTTGTTTTTCCTGTATCTGTCTTTGTCTAACGAAATGACATCTGTCCTTGTTCGATTGCTGCGCAATCTCTCGCTACACGCAATACTACTCATCATATCAACCTCCATGTGCTTTTGCATATATAAAAGCACATATAACTTTTTTTCTAGACTTTTATCTTAGTTCTAATTGCACGATATTGTTCTTAAGCAAATATTATCAGTGACAGGTCTATGTGCCGAAATTTTTAATTTTTTTTTGTTTTTAATGTAAACTCGACTGCAGCACCCTCCGTTTTTGTACGTACTTTAATTCTGTAAAAAAGCTTTTTCAATTCCGTAAACCCAATTCAAAGTTTCGTGTGTACAAAAAAATGTCGGTAATTACTGGCCACTACAGCATCCCCTTAAGAAATAAGTAATTAACTATCGCGCGTAACGCGCGTAACGTGCGGAGGACCTGGACGGCAACAGCGGGAGATAACGAAAGCGTACGGCAAATTACCGTGCAAAGTGCTGCATCCTTAGGGGAGGAAAGCGGCACGATCGTGTCCAGACTGCGTTCTTTATTTAAGTATTCGAGACTTAACGAGAAAACAGTATTTTACATGTGAACGCCGTCTTAGTATTCGTGTGACATAATGTGACAATTCGCAAGATACGTTCTCGATAACGCGTCGGACGAATCTTCGCCTCCTCTCGCCGGCGAAATCTCGATTTTATTTAATTCTTGATTAATTGATTTCTTCAACTGCCGCCTTCATTATGCAAGGCGCTTGGATCTTCTCATATTCTCTAAAAGTCAAAGAGTGAAATATATCACTCACAACGAGTGAAATGCAAGTGTAACGAAAAGTGAAAATTGAGCCTGTGCACTTTGAATAATTCGCCACTCTTAGGAAAGAGTAAAATTGCACTCCATTTTAGTGAAAGGGCACTTTTTGCGAGTGCAGTAGATCAGTGTCCGCAGGAGTGAATTATGTCACTCCACAATTTTAAGTGGAAAATTTCACTCTGTTAGAGTCATTTATCAGCCAATCTTTAGTAAATCGTGATTCACTATAGCTTTAGAATGAGATCGTATCACTCCGGTAGAGTAACGGCTCTAAAAATTTGAATTCCCGGATTTACTCAAATCAGAGTGACAACCCTTTCTTTTAGAGTGACTATCGCAATCCCTTTAAAGTGTCGTCTACAATGGCAGCAGGAGTAATGGATTAAGATTATAAGACGTCAGAGTAAGTTGGTTTCGTAAAGTAAAGCCATAAGTGAAATTTGAGTAGAACGTAGAAAATGGGATTCAACCATTTCGCTTACGGCCATACTCTATGTCCTTTTACACGAGAAAATCAACTTACTCTGACGTCTTATAATCTTAATCCACTATCACTGAGAGAAATGTTTTGTTGAAACAACCAAAATTTTATTACTGTAACAAAATTTTGGTTGTTTCAATAAAACTCAACAAAACATTTCTCTCAGTGTACTCTTGCTGCCATTGTAAACAACGCTTAATATATTAGTGGCAAAACCACTTTATGATAAATTTAGAGATAAAGAAAGCGCAAGCTCATTCCAATCCGCTTTCGTTCGACCGCGTTGGATTCAGTCGATCGCTGCGTAACATGCAAAACGCTCAGATGGAAAATCTCGTGAGAAAGTGCAAAATCATTATAACCGGCTTTTCTCGATCGCGTCGGTTTCTTCCGCGCGAGAGACGCGCAATTACGACAAACGCACGGTCATTCGGCCTTGAAGAGGAACATTTGCAGTTTCACTTTTCTAAAACGTCGACGTCTTACGGTGTCATGAATCTCAAATGCCTCATAATGATTTTGCCGCTAATTGACTGAATCCAACGCGGAATCTTAACGCGATGTAACCACGATCGATCGTGTTGTCTTTCGAATAGATTTCTCGATTTATTCCTCCTCCGAGGAATAAATTGAGAACAGCGCAATTGTGATGCGAACGACGTTTGTTAAGAGACTCTTGCGAATTTACCTTGGCGAGTTTTGAACTAAGGCGATTATTTTTTCGCAGACGATTTACGTCGAAATTACGCAAAAGATCAGGATTAATGTTAATCGTGGATTTTAAAGCCCTAAGCGTCGCGATGCGAGAGGCATGTATTGCATTCCGGGCTCGGCCATGTACATTTATGTATTCTTATTTAGTTTCTTTTTTGTTCTTTTTACAACGTTGATAGAATGATAGAGCGATAATTTACGTTAGACTAGAGGAACGTACATCTGTTATGGTTAAAGCCCGAAACGTGGTCAATCCTAGAATTGACTAACCAATTCTGCCAAACGGTCAAGCATCTTGGTCAAAGTTTTGTAGTAATTTGTTGATATGTGTGTATAAACAGTACACAAATAGGCGCGTGAGGGCCTGCGGCGGGGCCCCTTCCCCGCATAAAACTAATCAAAATCCCAGCCTGATGCTCCTGAACTCCCACCTAACTGCTTTAATCAAGACGCTTGGTTATTCCTCAGAATTGACCAGTCATTCCGCAGAATTGACCAGTCAATGCTAGAAATGCCCGCGTTTCGGGCTTTGACCATAAAATATCGATGGGATTCATCGCGATGGCGATGACGGTATCGAAAGATGGCCACAGAGTTTAACGCGATATCTGAGCTAATTCGAGCTCTAGGCGAATTTTATTTATTTTCTAAGTTTGATTTTTGGAGATTACGTTTAGATTATCGTTAGTATTAATTGGACTCGCTCTATGCCCTGCGAGTCCGCGTTCCTTACTACTTATTGTCATTTGTAATGCCCACTGTTTTAGTTGTATACGTATTTATTTATTTATTTATTTATTTACCTATTTATTTATTTATTTATTTTGTTCATTGGACATGATGCACGTGATTACGCGTGAATTTTAGGACGTGATTCTTGACTCTTGTATCGAGCACCGACATTCATTATCTTTTCTCATTTATTAATCACGTCGTTGGATTTGAACAAACATGTATACGCGATTGTGAATGCAATAAAAGAATTTAATCGATTATTCATGCAATTTATTCTCGTTTTTCATTGCATATCCCGTCCGCTTTCGCAGGCAGCATCCCACGGACGAAGTGCTATTTGAACATTAATTGTCATTCTTCAGTTTTGAAAACGCGATGAGAGAGAGAGAGAGAGAGAGAGGGGGGGGGGACGTCGGATCGAAATACTTAATAAATTGTTAATTCTAGTTCTAGATAAATTTTTTTTATTTTGTATAGTTTGATGTTTGAATATTACTTTAATTATTGTTAGTATTAATTGGCCTTGTGCCCTGCAAGTCCACATTTTTTACCATTCATTATTTATCATTTATAATAATTATAATACCACATTTTTTACCATTGATTATCATTTATAATGTTATTTGTATTATTTTATTTGTGTACATATTTATTTATTTATGTCTTTATTTATTCATTGAATATAAATGATTATGCGTTTAAGCGTGAATTTTGCAAATCAATTTTTTTCAAAAGATTCTCGTTGCCTCAAGCAACATTTACGTTTTATTCTAGAAACGAATTTTATTTATTTTATTAAGTAGTTTTATTTACTTTGTAATATTGATTTTTGCAGATTATTTAGAATTGTTATTAGATTCGCGTCCTTGTGAGTCCACATTTCTTCCTAGGTAGCAGAGTGACGTCAAATGACGTATTGATAACGTCTTAATGATGTCTCTAACGTTAATAAAACATCATTAAGACGTCTTTAAACCTCATCCTGCTACCTGATAGGTTACTACTTACTATTTATCATCATTTATTTACTTATTTATTAATTTATTATTAATATAAACTTTATTATTTATTGATATTAATATAAAATTTATTTATTTATTAATATAATAGGATATAAACAATTATCCGGTTAGACGTAAATTTTGCAAATAAATTTTTTTCAAAAAATTTGTTGCGTCGAGCACCGATATTTACTTTTATTTTAGACAAATTTATTTATTTTGTAAGTTTGATTTTTTGAAATTATTTGATATTGTTATTATTATTGGACTTGCCCTGTAGCTTGCAAGTCCGTGCACACGTTCCCTGACTACACTTATACTATTTATCATTTGTAGTGCCTATTATTTGTAATGTTTTACGTATTTATTTATTTATCTATTTATTTATTTATTTGTTTATTTATTTGTTTATTGAACATAAACAATTTTGCTTTTGGACGTGAATTTTACGAATTGATTGCTTTTACAAAGTTATCGCTGCATCGAGCATCGACAATTACGTTCCTTTTTTCATCTACTAATCACGTCGTCAGATTACCTTGAACAAAATTAAATGCGTATGCAATTGTAAATGCAATGAAAAGAATTAATCGATTATTTATGCAATTCTCGTTTTTTTCATTGCGTATCCCGTTCACTTTCGTAAGCAGCGTCTCGTGGACGAAGCGCCGTTATTACCGATTGCCATTCTTCAATTCTAAAGACGCGATACGAGAAAAACGTCGGATCGAAACGCTGCTGAAATTAAACCATCGAATTCGCGAAAAATTAGATTATAACTCCCTCTGCAAAGACACAGCGGAATTATACCCTTTCTGTCGGTAAATATATACATACAGAATTTCTCTCTCTTGTGCGTATATACGCAATCCTATGCGTTTGTTACGTCGTCATTATTGTATTTTGTTTTTACAAATTTTTTTATGCGAAAACAATGAAGGCCTTGCTGAATATTACAATAAAAATCTGCATGATGCTCGAAATTAAAATATCTATCAAGGACAGAATAAATTATTAAGGAGTGGTTGAACTATATTTTTAATGCGAGAAAATGTGCTTTGTATAAGACGATTTAATTCAAAATATTGACAAGATGCTATTGTTCAGTTCGCAAATACTTTGCGTGCTAATCAAGAATTACGAAATTTATTTAAAAAAAAAAAACAAGTTTTCTTTGTAACCTGTCATGGAGGGACCGTCGGGCCAATTATACTTTGTACTACTTGCAACGCGGGAAGGGGGCGGCGATACGCCACGTGATTCAACCGTGGTGCAATTTATATCTATTTTATTTCACAAAAGATTAATTTTTTGTCGACTTGCAAAAAGTGATGAGTAAAAGTCCATCGAGCGAAAGTTATACAAATTACTTGAAAATTCGCAAAAGTCATATGCTACTCGAATCGGTCCTAGTGCTCGAGCTCACTCGAGTAAACAAAAGAAAAATAGTAAACGTGAACGAATAACACAATCACAACGATATAAATAAATCTAGCGATCTAATTAATATATATAGAAATCCACACCGTGAATAAAAACCTATAATACACAGCAAAGAAAGGCTGCACAGACATATTGTAGAATAATTAAAAGATTGCAATGGCGCAAATTTGTTACGAAACATTGCGGCACTTATTGCTGCACGATTATAGCAACGTTAAAATATCCGCCTTTAGAAAGATTGCAACAAAATATTACAATATTGCGGTGTAACTTGTAATATTTGGAACAATGCAATGTTGGTGCAGCCATCTAGTTAAGGCCGCGGTCCATTTGACGCTACAAATGCTTCGAAGTGTTCTTCTTCTCCTTCTTTCTTCATTGAAAGAAAGGAGAAAAGAAATGCTTCAAAGCATTTGTAGCGTCAAGTGGACCGCAGCCTAACTAGTATATAATGCTGCATACAAAATGTTTTTGTTTCTGATGGCTATAAACATCGGACATGTAAAATAAAAAAAAGAACAAAAGTTTGCATAATGATTTCATATTCAAGACATATATTATAAAGTTATACATAAATATAATCATGTATAACTTAACACTATTGTATTTGAAACATAAAACCATTTCAAACTTTTATTTGTATGAATAATTTTTTTCGTTTACGTTTAACAACTATACTGATCCGCCATCTTGTTAATGATATGCTAGATCTAAGGCCGGTATTTATAATCTGATTTTATATTTAAGATCATCTTAAGTACAAGATTAATAAATAGCAATTTAGTACGATATTGAAGACAAGAACGGACTATTAATGGGCTATGATTTATCATCTTAAACAGCTTTATATAATTAAAATATAATTAAAATATAATTAAAATATAATTAAAAATTATTATGATATTATTATATTTTATTATAATCAAATTATAGAATAATTTTGCAATGTTTCCGAGATTTTAATGTTATGCTGCTAAAATATCTCTACTGACATTTTGCTAATCTACATTTCTATAATACAATGTTGCCGCAATATAGCTGCAATATGATTTGTCCTGTATGGGAAACTACTTGAAAATTCGCAAAATTATTAATTCATTCCACTTGGATCGAAGTGTTTGAGTAAACAGAAGAAAAATCGTAAAAACAGGAAACGAGTAACGCAATCGCAATGATGTAAATAAATCTAGCTATCCCATCGCAATCCACACCATGAAACGCGACCGCCAAAGCTGGCGGCGTGATCATGACTTTCGGTTAACACCCAACACAGTCACCCGATACTTATCTGGTAGATACGACGCATATTTAATAAACTTTTGCGTGGGCGGCGCGCATTTCGCAACGAGGGAATTATCCGGTCGACCATTAACAACATTGCGTTTTACCAAAATGTATCTGATCGCACTTCCGTCGATCGCGCAATCGTTTTCTTCTTTCCACTGCTTTCTTCTTTTTTTTTTTATTCAACATAAATCTCCTTGTTTCGTCGCAGCCATCGAATCAATGAAGCTTATCATAATGAGTTATGAAATTCACGTATCTTTTCGTACACTTCTTTCTTCTCTCGCACGACTCTTATACATTGCGTTAGGCAAGAACGTTTTGTTGAACGTTTTCGTTGAGGCAGCTTTGCGCGGTTTCGACACCTTACGCTATGTCTTTTCAGTCTCAACACAGATTATTGTGCCAGAAAAAAGACGTGTTAAATTGAAAAATTGTATATTCAATTTTAAATATATCATATATATATATACAAATACATTGTTTTAATTCCTATTTAAAGAAAAAAACGCGTCGAATCGACGAAATGATATGATGTATGATGTATTTGCACGAGGCGTATCATCATTAGGCGCATATATAATATTCTAAAGTTCGTCACGCGTATCATCCTTGCTTCCGTATACGTCTCGGGCGCGATAAAGTTTAATGATCGAGATATAATAAGTGATTAATGCCGGAAGTGAGAAATAAAAATGTAGAGTCGTAACATTCAGCGGGCAGTAGAATGATTTCGTAATGACATGTTACGCGATTCGCCTAATGGCGTCTAATTTGATGTACGTACAACGAAAGTTTGCGATAGGAGTAAAAATTTAAAAACAGCGACTAGGCGAATAGGCTTACTGGCGGGGCTTCATAATGTTGCAATACAGAATGAGAGAGAGAGAAACGATAGAGACAATTAAATTTACATTCCCGTTAAATAATATAAAATATTTGAATTGAGAATTATCGCTCGCAAGCTAACCCGTTAACTTGAAATCGTTATGATTTTTTTTCATAATATAATTTGGCCGAGTGGTCATAAATGAGCACAATCGTATGGCGCATAAATTATATACATTATCTATGCACAATCAAAGTTTTATATCAAAATGAGGTCAGAAGTTCATTTTCTTGCCTCTACTTAAATTGCCAAAGTTCTGCTCGGTTTATTTCTCAATGAGAATTTAATGTCATGAGTTTTGCACGCGCGGTCAAATAAAGTTACGAAGAACGAGCGTTATGTACTTTGCCTTCTCGTTTTACAAAGAAAAAAGTTGATTATTGCGATGTAGGAGACGTAGAAGATGTACCAGACTGAACTGGAAAATCTGCGATCGCTACGTAGGTTTTTCCAACGAAACGAAGGAAAATGCAATTCGCGGAGCGCGGGGCGATTTTTATATAGTGTGATATTCCAGCTAAAAATGTATATTACGAAAAAATGCGTTAAACGTAATAAAAAGAGAGAAAGAGAGAGAGAGAGAGAGAGAGAGAGAGAGAGAGAGAGAGAAACGAGATGTAGAAGACGAGTCGAAAGCGCGCAAACGCGACTCTCTTTGATCGTCGTAAATCGTCATTATTAATAACATTTTGGAGAACGACGTTGAACGATACGAATCGACGGCGAATTTCGTCGTGATCGCGTAAAATTCTGTTCGGTGGAATCCTTGGAAGATCGCTCGAGGGCATCTAGAATACCCACGTATCTAGAATAAATCGGTTTGATGCAATTTGTCAGAAGCGACCGAAAGGCGGGTGCAAAAGCGTCGGTGCCCCGCCACGTGAGGAGGGGGATAAGGATCCCTAACGTATATATGACGGTGACGTTCGCCACTCTAACTTAATAGTTTACACACAACGAATCAGTAAACCTTCCAAGATCGCGTTTTAATCTCGTTTCGAGCTCTCGTCCGGAGTAAAACGCTTTTTCTTGCTGCGTGCTTCTAGATTTCTCCTTTTGGTGACCGCCGGAAGTTACTCGACGCTCCGCAATGGGACATTCGTTGATGGCGACCTGCGTCCTCGTGGCCGCACTCGTGCTGCCGAGACTTATTCACGGACGTCCTGCGACCAACGATGGGTAATTAACTATTTCTTTTTCTATTCGTATATAACGTATTCGTATAGAATTTGTCAATCCATCGTACGGAAAAAATACACGTTCCCGTTGTGCAGCGGAAGCGTTCCGTTCAGTTCTCTTCTCCTCTTATGCAAAATTTCTTACGTTCGTCGCGTGCATGTTACGTCAGAATAATATTATGAATATACCGGATATTATTACATCATGCTGGCGACAAACGATGCAATGTCAGCCCTTTTTGGCACGTAAATCTATATCAATTGTCTCGTAACGAGGGAGACGCGTCTAAGAATTCGTATTTTTTGAATGAGACGCGTAAAAGTGACATTTTCTAAATGTGCTATCTCATTCGATATCTCATTTTTCTTTTTATTTTGTAATAGGTCGGTCTTGAGCATGTTGGAGTCACGTGTCTCGAAGCCGGAGAATTTCTCAGAACCAAAAGCGATCTCGCCGCTCATGGTGCAAGAAAATCTATCGATCCCAGCTAAATCGTAAGTCGAATCGAATCGAAGTTTCTTTCTTTTTTTTCTCAATCGCGTTGTTGAATCCACCGCGTAACCGGCCACGTGTTTGCAGTCGACAAAGACGTCTGTCGGATCAAAGGCGAGCTGAGCTGGAGGCGCTGGTGACTTTGTCGAAAATCAATAGCAAGCGGTCGCTGACCACGCGAAGAAGCGGGCTACTGGATCCGATGATAATGTAAGGGGAATTTAATAAAGAATCTACATATATTTCATGATAAAAATATACTGTTAATTATGATGTATATAATTGTATATAACAATTTATATACTTTCTCTTTCCTGTAGTCTCTATATTTTATATTTTAATTCGATTTTAAGTTGCATGGGTGTAATAATTTTTCGAATTTTATAACTAATCGATGAAACGTTGCAGCGGCCGGCGACGACGTTTCGCGATGGACCAAGCTCCTACCGAATTGGTATCTATCAAAGCGAAGTACACCGGAGATCCTGCGTATTCTCGAATTAGGTAAGTTGTTTTCGTTCGTTTATTTTATATAGATTACACGAGAGGAACTTGTCTCGCCGAGACCGCGAATCTTCGTCGTATATATTGCATCGACAAAAATCGGCGGGAGAACGCGAAATCAAGGACATATGGCGGCGAAGATTACATTTTTTTTCTGCGGCACGCGGCACGTCCGCAGCGCGGTTATTCGCATGTGTAAATCGCGGCTTTGATAAGTAAATACGCAATTGCGTAGGTCGTAAATTCGAAAGAGTTGTTAATGTTAACATAAATCTACGCTCCAAGAGTGACGCAAGGTCGCTGTATCAGCGATGATAAGTCATCGCAGCGCTCGTTGGAACGCCGTCAATTCCCGCCCGTGCCATCGCGCTTCTTATCGCCGCGCGCGCGCGACATTTCGCAATTTATTTCGATTTACATCAAAAGAAATAATCAACGCCGCCGATTACGTCCTAAGATGAAAGAGAGAGAGAGAGAGAGAGAGAAAGAAAGAAAAAGATTATAATTTTTCTATTTTAAATTTTATATATTAATATGATCTTTCTATACGTATGCAAAACTTAATGAGTCTAATCGTGAGCGATTAATTCCTATCTTTAAACGAATGATTACGTCAATTTATATGTTTCTGATAAATCTTTTTAATATATTTTAACATTTTAACATTTTAACATTTTAACATTTATATTTTATTTTTAGTTGAGTAGACCGCCCGATAGAGCGTCCGACAAATGAAAGACTGCATATTATATCGCGAGGGATGAGCCTAGCACGTAAAAGAGGACACCGTTTCGGGGAAACAGCTACTTAGGAGTTAGCGAAATCGCGGAACGAGGATTATATTTTATAGCGACATGGGGGTGCATGAAGAATACCATAGACTTCTTAGATTAAAATCCATGAATATTATATAAGTTGATTGGAAAAAAATATGTATGTAGGCATTTTAATTTGTAATTTTAAAGGCAAAAAGAGAAAAAAAAAGTCAAATTATTTATTGATAAATTATTTATTTATTTATTTATGGATGGATTATTTTTTTAAATAAAGGTTGATTGCTACGAAACACATACAAATGCTTTTTTTATATCGTAATGAATTAACATTATATCTTATAATTATTGCATTAATATTTTTTTTACAATGTTCCCAAAACATTACTAATAAAGTTACAAGTTTAATACTCGTTATCATTTCACTAGAATTTGTAATTTTACGTCATCTTTACATAGCTGCAACGTTACACTGTAATTTACATAGTAAACGAATAAAATTCAATCCTTAACAATCGAGTTAACAATTTATATAATTGTGAATTATTATTTATTATTTCTTAAAAGTTAGTCTTTTTTCAAATCCATCGTACATTTTACAATATGGCGATCAGTGCTGCCATATTTTGTCTGATGCAAATCCTATTAATGCATGAAGAATAGCACATCAGATTCCTTAGATTCAAATCCATCGATATTATATTATAATTTGAAATATATATATATATATATATACATATATATATATATATATATATATATATATATATATATAT